TATAAATGCAGCCCGGCTTCATTTCTGGCCAACGCCAGCCTAAAGCTTCCAACAGATTATTACCCTGAAGGAACGTGGCCTATAACAGAATGGTTGATTAAGCAGCCAAGAATACTTCTCAATAGCTGTCGATGTAGCATCCCAGAAGCTTTTAAACATGGGTTTACTTGGAACAGAGACTAGGCAAAACTTGGTATGAGTTAATCAGATCTCTAAGCTGCCCCGGAAGTTGGCATTTTCAACTTAAATATTTAAATACATTTCCCAAGTACTGTACAGAGTTTTAAAGAATTAATTAAATTGCTACGGCAGACTGAATGGCTTAAGATGACCAGATTTCTAAACTACGAGCTGCTCTATCAATGTGGGGAGCCTGTCAGGCGTGTTTGAGGTGTGGCTGAAGAAGAGAACCGTGTTTGCCGGCTGCTCTGGTGGGGAATCATCTCTCCCCCAGTCACGAGTGCTTCTGTCTCTTGCTGAAATATTGACTCCGACAAGTTAGACAGCAGGTTCCCCCATATCTGCAGGAATTGGTTCCAAGACCTGCCCCTGCGGATGCAGAAAAACCGCCGTTCCTGCTATTTTAAGAGTGAATGCTAAACATAGCATTGTCTCTGGCTCCCTCTAGTGACCAGTTTTGGTGACTTCATCCATAAAAATATTTTTTCGGTGGATTTTTCTTTTAATATTTTTAGTATTTTCAGACTATGGATAAGTGAATCAGCAAATACTGATAAGGGCATCCTACTGTATAGATTTTTGAAAACGTCCAGCTTTTAGAGTGTGGGGAAAGGCAGGCAAAAATTCCTACTCTCCAGAGATACAGTCAGAAGCAGCAAATGGTGGGCCACTTCACCTCAAACAAATTCCTCTCACAGGGACTCTCTTTGCTTTCACTACATGCCGTGTGTGAACTTTGCCATATTCAGCCCACGGGGAGGCTGGATCATGCTCTCATTCTGCCCCCTCCTCTGAAGCCAGCACTCGCTTTCAACCCTGGCACACAACAGAGAAATGCCATGGTGCAGCTCACAGCGAGTCCAGGGCTGATCACTGTGTCCTCGAGAAGCCCTTGTGAAGGCTCGTGATCCCATTATCCTTACCCCGCTGTTGGCAGCACAGTGCATCAGGATGGCTAATGTATGCAGCAGCCGGCCCAGTACCAGGTGGTCATCTCCCAGGAGGTCAAAGGTGGTCATGGGCCTGGAAGGTAGGAAGAGAGAATGCCATTAGACAACTCAGTCGCAGACAGGTATTGCTCTGGACTTCTTCCTGCTTGGTGTTTTCCAAGAGCCTTTGTTCCTCATCAGATGGGACTCAAAAAAAGCCCAGTCCATAGGCCAACAGCCTGCTTTTCTGGAAGCAGGAGGGACTGCATTGCCAAAAGGAACCATAGGACTTTCTGCAAGATGAAAAACTACCTGCCAGAGATTCCGGGTTTGACGCCTCTGAACCCATGCAAAAATAACAGCGAAGGTCGGAGCTTTGAGGGCTGGCTCGAGTTGCCACAAAGACCAGAGGTTTTCAGGCCATCTCACCTGTCAAAGTTCTGAAGAAGTGGGAAGAAGAAATGACCGGCCACTGGAGCAAATCTGTTGGGGGCGGAGGACGGCTCTACGTGGGAGGGACCCTGTTCCACACAAAGAGAAGAGTCAGTCAGGAAACAGCTGGGAAGAGCACCGGCAACAGGCACGAGGCCTGGTATCCCAGGAAAAGGCTTCAAGACCCACTTGACTGAAAGGTCCTTTCTTTTTGAGGGACCATCCCGTCTCAGGCAAGGGGAAAACCTGTATCCCGAGCGTGGGAAAAAAGGGAGCAAAAATCCAAGAAGCACATGGAAATTCAGCGACAGAAGAATAAACACACACAGGAACAACAGCCAATCATGTAAAACATAGAAAGTAACCTCTCTGTAGAAATTCCTGTTAAACTTCAAAGGTGCAATCCAGACAGGATATGTGAAAGCCATCTATCTCCAAAACTAACAGCAGCTCAGGGAAGCAAGGAGACAGAATTCAGATCGGGACCCTAGTGCTGGTGGGGGGGGGCAGGATTTAACCTCTCCAACTGGTAGGTAAAACCATCCACTCATAGCAGTCCTGTTAAGTTTACCTCATGGGGCAAACAGGATCTGGATTGAAGCAATGTCAGTCAGCACAGAAGGAGAAGGGCGGAATCACTGCTCCACTGTCACCACACTTCCCCTTCAATTCCCTCTCTTTCTTCACTATTATTAACTGTAATAATTGTTTTTTTTTTAATGACTGTTGAGGCAGATTCTTAGGAACCAGGATTCTGGATTGTTCATTCATTCTAAATATATCACGGTCCTATTCATGTCACCGTCTCTAAAGGGAACAAGAGGAGGTAGAGGACACTTGAATAGCTTGCCAGGATTAAAGGGGCTAAAGATTCAAGGCACCGTGTGGCCGGAATGGCCAAGGAACAGACTGATGCTTCTTGGGGAGGGAGGGAGGGAGTCAGGAGTGTGAAATTCCTCAGAATCCAGAGGGAAGCCCAGTATTCAAGGTACCCTGAAAAATCTTCAGAAGAAAAACAGGATCAGAGCTGGTTAATGCTGCAAAATGAGACAGCACTGAATAAAGGCAGCAATCACCACTAGCAGTGGTTTCCAAACTGTGCCACAGTGCCCTGGGGTGCCCCTAAATCCAGCCAGGGGCACTGCAGCATCCTCTCATCCTTTGCTGCCGCTTTTCTCTCCCTCCCCCTGGCCAGCGGGTTTCCCTGTGTGCTAGCCGGGATCGTGCCTAGCGCCCTGCTCGTGCCCAGGTGCAGCCCCCAAGGTGAGCCACGTCTCTGCCTGGACACCCACCCGTGCAGGAGGAGAAGAGGCAGAGACGATGGCGGCAGTGGGGAAGCTCTGGGATGGATCAAGGGACCCGAGAGTGGAACAAAGCCTGGGAACCTCTGCCCCGTAGGGTCAGGAACGCATCCCTTGTGAAACTCTGGAGAGCTGCTGCCGGCCAGAGTGGATAAAACCCGGCTAGATGAGCCAATGGCTTGAGCCAAGTGTCACCCAGACACCCCTATTAAAGAAAGGCCGGGCAAATGTGGATTGCAGGAGGTCAGCTCGGGAAAGGGCAAGCCGCGTGCCCAGACGCTTCTGCAACTCCCCCCCCCCGTGCAGCTCACTTGGAGGCCCTGGCGAGGTGACCACCGTGGATTTCCAGACGTCCTACCTTTGCAAACCTTCGTGTCTTCTTTTTGATCCTTTCGTCCACCACTTTCTGCCAAACTGGAGAAGAACCATCACTGGACAGGACCTGGATGCTGGGATGTTTGAGGCTTGGAAGCGGTTTCGATTCCAGGCAGAGGGGCCGGGAGAGTTCGCGGGCTGCCCCGGCCAGTGCCTGGAGGAACAGACACGGCTCTTGTTAAGGATGAGCCTTTTTCCCCCCACAGAAGGAGAGAGGAGGGAGGAAGAGAAGGTGAAAGCCAAGAACAGACACGCCTCTTGTTAAGGATGAGCCCTTTTTTCCCCCCACAGAAGGAGGGAGGAGGGAGGAAGAGAAGGGGAAAGCCGAGCACAGGAGGACCCCCCCCCCAAAAAAAAGTGTTCCCAGAGAAGCCGGAGTCACACTTGGATGGAAACTGGAACTCGGAGAAAGGTCTTCTTGGACTATAACTCCCGAGCCCCTTGGCCAGCATGTCCTCTTGTTAAGGATGAGCCCTTTTTTCCCCCCACAGAAGGAGGGAGGAGGGAGGAAGAGAAGGGGAAAGCCGAGCACAGGAGGACCCCCCCCCCAAAAAAAAGTGTTCCCAGAGAAGCCGGAGTCACACTTGGATGGAAACTGGAACTCGGAGAAAGGTCTTCTTGGACTATAACTCCCGAGCCCCTTGGCCAGCATGTCAGACTGGTTGGGGGAGGCGAAGCGTGATTGTTCCAAAGGACAACATTTCCAAGGGGTGGGCGCCCTTTGATAATAAGCATCCTAACTTCAGGCAGTTTGTTTGTACAGGCCAAATGTTTACTTCTGGCATTTACAGGGAGGAAATGGGGCCAGATTCCTATTCACAGACCCACCTGAGATGTCAGCCCCCAATAAATACAGTGAGAGTTATTGTTGAGAAAACCCACTTCAGAATGGACCTCCGGCTACTCTTTTGGTTCCACGCAAGCCTCTGATACTATTTGTTGCCAGTAGGGGCGAGAAAGGAGAGAACCAGAGGTAGCCAAGCATCATCCATGTAGACACACCCAGCCTGAGGAGTCCTGGAATTTCCCCCCTAAATCCCTCTTTTACCAGTGAGGTGAGAAGCACCAAAAAACCTGACCTTCTCAGAAGGATAACATAATTAGTGGCAGGAGTTATCGTTACTTTTGAACTACAGGGCATGACAATGTTCAAGAGATAAACTTCTGGAAAAACTTCTGCTTATAAACTTCTGGAAAAAGAAATTCATCCATACGTCTTCCTTTTCCTGGAAATCTACACTTGGAATTCTACATAACTATATTCAATTTGGAATTCTACATAACGATATTCAATTGCTCCAGATTATGGAGACAGTAGGTTATTCTGGAAAGTTAAAAACTAGTTTTGTAACTCTTCATTATACTTTTACTGAATATTCCACAATACTGTCACCATCCTCATCAAAGCTTTCAACACACGTAATCTTTTAAATTATTTATAAGCCATTTCCCCCAAACTTTGAAATAACTTCCAAAAGAAGCTTCTCATTCTCGGCAGAACAGGGCCAGCCGCCAAATGCTTGTGAGGATGCCCCGCATCACCCTACCGTCCTTACACCAAGCCTGACCTGGCAGGCCATTATCACTTGTACCCCTTCCTAGAAGGGGAAAGTGTGGCTCCAGCCCAGACAGGTCTCATTGGACAGCAACGGCAACACGCAGGCGGAACGGGCACAAGGAACTTTCAAAGAAGTTACTCCGTCTCTTACCTGCCGGCTCTCACAAGGGATACTTCTATGAGGGGAAGGGGAAGGAAAGGGAGAAGAGAGCCATGAGGGGCCACTTACATCCAGGATGTCCATCCGCTGGCGAAGGCTGTAATTCAGGGAGTAAAATTCAGAGGTGAGATACCGGGTGACCTAGAGAGCAGGAAACAAGTTCTGGTTTAGAGAGTCTCTCCCTCCTGCTTTCCTCCCCCAGGATCCTCCATCCATCGGACCTCTTGCTCGTGGCCAACTAGGCGTTGTCCAGCTGCTTGTACAGTCCAGGTCTTAAGTCCTGGGGCCTCGCCTGCTTTTCCAGAAGGGTCCCCTTCCCTGTCCACACGGTGCACGCTTACAAGCGGTCTCGTCCTAGCGGCTTCTCAGCTAGTCCTTCAATGGCGTCCCACAAGGCTGGCAAGAAAGCCCGGCTGCTGCTCCGAAACGTTAGGAGGACTCACCGTGACGGGGTCGGTGACAAGGACGGCCACCAAAGCGCCTTGTCGAAGCTCCGCAAAGCTTGCGATGTAGCTTTTCTCTTCCAGATGCAGCAGGACTTTGGCCAACTCGACGCTCGCCTGAACCAAAACGACAAAAAGCGCAGGCAATCTGATGTTATTGCACAGTCCTGATAAGCCCACAGGGATCCTGGCAGAGGGGAGGAAGAGGCCTGGAGCCTGGCTTTTGGGGGCTCCAGGCAGGCTGTCCTCATCCCTACCCCAGCTTTTGTCTCAACTCAGTGGCAAGGCTGATGCAGCGGCCAGTCCTGCCCTCTTCAACGATGCATGGGGAGACTGATCCATCAACAGGAACTACTTCACTGCCCCGGAAAGATGCCCTGGTCCTTACTGTAAGGTGTTCATCCTCAGTGTACAGTGCAAAGAGGACAATGCAGGATGCTTGCTCTGATCAGTAGGATTATGCAAACCAACCAGATGTGCCCTTGGGGCCCTCTAGTGTGCCAACACTTTAAAAGCAAATGCATTTTGTTTGGTATAAACTTTCCTGGATGACAGGCTGGGGAAAGATCCTGCAAATCCCTCATGCTTGGGCTTGAGCAAAAAGCCAATTTATAAGAATTTAAGAGGCCTGAATAATAATCCTTACCAGCAGCAGCTTCAGGAATTTTGAGTGCATTCTGTATATGTCTTCTTCCTAGGACAGTGCCTAAAATAAAACCTAGCAGTCTGCTGTAGCATCTGAACACTTAACAAATCACCCAGATGTGGATAGTAGCTAAACGGTTTGTTTCCTACAAACTTGTTAGTTTAATATACCACGATCTGGGCTTTAGTTCACACAAATCTATGGAAGGCTCAGTCATGCTCAATGCATCAGCCCCAGACAGTCAAATGCACTTGCTAGTTGTTTCTGTTGTTTTGTGTGCGGCTTTCCCCCCAGCCTTTTTGTTGCGAGTTGTTGACCACTGATGCACCGTCAGTGTTTCTTTTCCTCTACAGTTTCAGGATAAAATGTATATAAATATGAAATATAAGTATTAATGTTATTTCTGGGTGTGGTAACATTAAATAAAACGCAGTGTTTTCATTTGGCCTTACTGCTTAAACAGGATAGGGACCCAAAGCCAGGAAGAGCTGACAGACGCCGGTTGCATTTACCTCTCTCGCAGCGGCTGCGTTCCTTCGAATGAGTGTCTCCAGGACGCTCACTGTGGCTTCCCATTTGTCTGCATCTTCAGGCCCAGTCAGGACTGAGGAAACAAAAAGGGGAGGAGAGGAGATGTCTCCGCAACTGGCCATAAGCAACATTCGCCAGTTGCAGCGACATCCACAGTCCAATGGGAACAAATCGGATCCAGTTTCACAAAGGGCTTACAAAAGGTCAAAAGTAGGACAGATCATGCCCTCCGATTTATAATGCACATGGCATGCAAGGAAAAGGAAAAGGAGTTGTGAGGGAACAGGATAAGCCCAAGCTCCAGGCACAAGATCTCAATTCCCAAGCCCCTATAACAACCTGATGGAAGGCTCGCGTCTCAAAAAGAAAAAAGGGCCAAACATGCCGGATCGCTCAGTGGGTTGAGGTCTCTGGCTGCCAAGCCAGAGGTTGGGAGCTCAATTTGCCCACTGGGCGTCCCTGATAAGGGGTCAGACTGGATGATCCCTAGGGTCCCTTCCAGCCCCTTCTGCAGTTCTGAGGTGGTGGGGGTTGTCGTTGTTATTACCATTACTATTATTAGTAGACATGGTCTAGAGTGGTGGGGTATAAATGTAATAAATAATAAATAGATAAATAAATTATTATTAATATTGCTGGTCTCTCAGTCAGTTAGCGGGGGAAAGCGCCGCACCTTTTCTCTCCCCCTACTCGAACACAATGGAATGGCCGCTACGTGGTAACAGCTAATGGAAGAAAGGAGCTTTTATTGATGGCTTGTTAGTAAAAAAAACAGATTCTCTCCAACCGCGTGCAGTTCTACAGTCCCTGTGAAAGGGTTGGGTGGCAAATACATCAGTAGGGTGGTGGGGGTTGTCGTTGTTATTACCATTACTATTATTAGTAGACATGGTCTAGAGTGGTGGGGTATAAATGTAATAAATAATAAATAGATAAATAAATTATTATTAATATTGCTGGTCTCTCAGTCAGTTAGCGGGGGAAAGCGCCGCACCTTTTCTTTTCTCTCCCTCGAACACAACGGAATGGCCGCTACGTGGTAACAATTAATGGAGGAAAAGAGCTTTTATTGATGGCTTGTTATAGAAAAGCAGATTCTCTCCAACCACACGCAGTTTTACAGTCCCAGTGAAAGGGCTGGGTGGCAAATACATCAGTAGGCTTTGGGGGGGTTGGTCAAGACTGAACAAGCCCAGCAGGCTGTAGATGTCAAGGTGGCCTTTCCAAACGAGGCACCATCAAGATGCCGATATGATCATAACACTTTTAATCAAAAAACTGCAGAAAGTTCCACAGGCACTCAATCACAAACTATTCCAACCAGAATGACAACAGAAGAAACGCATCGTGGTTCTAAACGATGGTTTCGGGGAAACCCCTCATCTAAGCCTCCATCCAAACATCAAGCTTACAAGGTGAGCTGGGGACACTCATATTCTCCCTTTCATCCCCTACCAACTTCATACAGTTGTCGTGAAGGTTAAGAATCCTCCCCCCCCCCCCC